TTTTTTTTTGGAAACAGATTGCCAGGCCTTTCCTCTGAGGTGCCTCTGGGCAGAATTGAACCTCTAACCTTTTGGTTAGGAGCTGAGCACATTAACTGTTTTGCATCACTTAGGCGCTCCTCTATTAAGATTACAACTGTTACAATTATCAAAGTAAAGGTTAAGTTATGATTAAAGTGAAATTTGCTGTCATGATTCTAATAAATTTGTTAAAAATCTGTTAAGTTTTTATGCTGCAGTTTTTTATAATGAAATCATTATTTAGGTTAATTGATCAGTACATATTTGCTTAAATAAGAATCAAGACTCAATCTTTTAATTTTTTTATTAAACATAAATTAGCTACATTTACTTCCTTGCCCACTGTCTGTCATACCCTGGTGGCTTGCGTGTTGCTATGATACTACATTGCAGAAGCTATGCTGCTAATTTTCAAACACCGGCAAGGTCACCGTGATGGACAGGTTTCAGCAGAGCTTCCAGACTAAGACAGACTAGGAAAAAGGTCTGGCAATTTACTTCCAAAAATGAGAAAACTTTATGGATCACAACAGAATACTGTTCGATATAGTGCTGGAAGATGAGTCCTCGAGATTGGAAGGCAATCAAAATACACAGTGGCCACAGCAACAGATTTGAGCACACTAACAACTGTGATTGTGAAAACGACACAGAACTAAGCATTTCATTCTGTTGTACAGGTCACCAAAATTCAAAGCCAACTCAATGGTAACTAACAACAACAGTGTCTTTGCCAAATGCCGTAAAACAGCTTCAAGCTGGTGATTTAGTAACTCAAAAGCCTTCATGATTATCATGCCAAAAAAAAAAACCCTTCAGCATTATTTGCTTTATTTCCCTAAAAAGCTGAAAGTCTTAACCAAAAACTAGGTATATCCACGTTGTTGTTGAAGATGTAACGAATATGTAAAGTACCATCCAACGTCTATCACATGGCAATAAAGGGTGAGGGCCACTCATCTAATCTAACTCCTAACTGACGAAAAAGAAAGCAGCCCAGCAGTCAGTGGCAGGCCCAGAAGCAGAATACTGACCTCCACGTAGGCCTCTTCCCACGACATCACCAAACTGTGCTGGCAAAGAGCTTCCAATGCTACCCTATCTTTTCACCTGTTTCTTCACTAAGACAGGAATTCCAACAGAAACAAGACCCTTTCAGAGCTGCTTACTGTGAATACCCACTCAAATGCAGCTCCCTCTGTCTCAAAACTCTACAAAATTTCAACGTCCTTTCTCATTTATTCTCACAACAGCCTCATAGCACAGGTTTTAGTAGTACCCAGTCTCCAGGGGTGAAATGTGACTGACGCAGAGAAAATCTAACTATCTACAGCTCATCAATCTTCCAGGTCTGTTCTCTTCCTTAAAACACGACTGCACCTCTTCTTACAGTACTTAACGTATACTGTCTTACTCTTTACTTGCACAAAACAACAACAACTCTTTACTTAATTTACATAAAATAACAGCTTAGTGCCTAAGGTCTAAAATTAGAGCTAAAAAAGTCTGAAGCTTTTATCTGGTATTCAAAGCCTTCTGGTTCCAAACCAGAAGATTGGTGGTTCAAACCCACCGGCCCCTCGGAAGGAAGATGAGGCAATCTACTTCCGTAGTGATACTGCCTCGGAAACCCAAGAGGGGTTGCTATGAGTCGGGTCCAACTCGATGGCACATAACAACAACAGTAACAACAAGGGGTAATAGTACTTACTTATAGAACTGTTATGACTTAATATACAAACAGTGCTTAACACACTTAAAGAAAGAAACATTGCCATTGAGTTAATTCCAACTCACAGTGACCCTGTAGGACAGAGGAAAACTGCCCAAAGGGTTTCCAAAGCTGTGATCTTTACAGAAGCAATCTGCTACATCTTTCTCCCCTGGTGGGTTCAAACCCTGACCTTTTGGTTAACAGACAAGTAATTAACCACTGCACCACCTGGGCTCCTTTATCTAGTACATGGTTCAATATAAATATTAGCTATTACTTTCGATTTTTACCCAGAATTGTCAATTTGTCCAAGGAGTTTCCAGCCCAAGCTTTCTGACTACTTGTTTCATGGGGATATGCCGTAACTCCATGCTCAATAAGGTACATACTGTGTTTAACTGGCCCCAAAACGGCTTCTCCTCTGACTTGGCCAATTCTATCAAGTTGCAAATCTGACATTGACTCCTCTCCCTTTTCTGCCTTCAATGTCTTATCCATTGCTAAACGGTGAACAGTTGTAGATACATTTGCTCTTTCCTCTCTGTAAGCAGTCACCAATTATGTTGGGGTCATAAATCTCTTCCTAAACTACTCAAAAGCCACCAAAACTAGTCTCGTTGCTTTTCTTCTCCTCTCTTCAATCCATTCTTTAGAGCTACTAGAGTGATCTTTCTAAAATACAATTCTTATTTTATGCTATTATTAAAATAAGTCTCAACAAAGCCCTGAAAGAAGTCAGTGTTAATAACGGGGGGGGAAAAAAAGTCTGAAGCTTTTATCTGGTATTCAAAGCCTTCTGGTTCCAAACTATTTTTCCAGCCTTCTTACCCACAATACTTCCAAGCTCACTGTCCCCAGAACCCTGTTTTGGTCTCCTGCATTTTCACATCTCCTTACACTTGCTCATATCCTACACTCCATTTAGAGAACCTCCTTTCCATCTCTGCCCATAAACGCTATTCTTCAAATGTCATTTAGCCAAGTCTTACATTATGCACAAGATCTGTTTTTTCTGACTCTATGCAGCTTCCAAGAATTTTACTGCTGAAATCACCTCACCTTACAAATAAAACAACTGTGTCTGTAAAGGCTATAACTAATCAAGGTAATGAAGCAATTAGGTCTAAAATTTAGAGCTAACATCAAATCCTACTCTTAAACCACGTCCACCCCCAAACACTTAATCATACTATGTCTTGTATTTTAGTTATTTATGTAATTACGTTTCTCAATTCAACTGTGTGAGCTCTGTAGGCAAATTTATTTACCTAGAATACTTGTATGAAGATGAACCTCAGTGTTTGAACCAAATAAAGTTTGTTCCAGCAAGGCTGAGCTCAAGGAGGGACAAGAAACAAAGGAATGCTGGGGTCCACGGCAGCACCCACCTCCTCTCACCTTAGTAAATGTCACTTTACTAGTTTCTGAACACAGCTAATAAGTTTTCCATCTGAGGGAAACAAGTTTCCATTCCTAGAAGGCATTAAACCAAACCAAATTCATTGCCATCGAGTCGATTCTGACTCATAGTGACCCCCACTGGGTTTCCAAGGTGGTAAATCTTGACAGAAGTAAATTGCCCCATCTTCTTTCTGCTGAGCAGCCAGTGTGTTTGAACCAACCTTCTGGTTAGCAGCCAAATGTCTTATCCACTATGCCACCAGGGCTCCTTCTGTAAGACATTATTGTTGTTGTTGTTGTTATGTTATGTCAAGTCATCTCCGACTCACAGTGATCCCTCCTTGGGTTTCCAAGGCAGTATCACTACGGAAGTAGATTACCCAACCTTCCTTCCGAGGAGTGGCTGGTGGGTTTGAACCACCAATCTTCTGGTTACCAGTCAAGTCCCTTAGGCACTACACTACCAGAGCTCCCTCCATAAGACATAAGGAAGATTAAATGAGGCGATGCATGTAAAACACTGGTAAATCATTTCTGGCACATCCTCTTTAGTCCTGCCCTCCTTTTCCCCCTATGCAGACCTGCAGTGACACTTCTCTGCCTTAAAACTTCCCACCTCTCACTTACAGGATGAAGTTCCAACTGCTGAGCCTGGCCTTGTGGAAGTTATTTCCCCAGTCCTCAGCCCAAGGTACCTCTCCAGGCTCAGGACCTGCTGCTTCCCAACACCAGAGTACACCAAACAGCACTTGGCTCCCTAAATACGCAAGGTTCTCTAAAGCTTTCTCACTCTTCTGGGCTTTTGCCTACACTAGTTTATAAGCAGCTCTGGTGGCACAGTGGTTAAGCATTTGGCTACTAACAAAAAGGTCAGCAGCCTGAACCCACCAGTTCTTCCATGGGAAAAAGATGTGGCAGTCAGCTTCCATAAAGATTTACAGCCTTGGAAACCCCATGGGGCAGTTGAAATCGACTCGACTGCAGTGGGTTTTGGGTATAGTTTTAAAGCATTAATTTTAAAACCAAGGCAACCTACGTTCACATTCCAGCACCATGACAGCTATATGACCTTGGCAAATCACTTCTACTGTCAGGGCCTGTTTCCTCATCTATGACATGGAGAGAGCAATCATATTTCACCTTACAGAGTTGCTGGGACGATTCAACAACTTAATGCATGCTTGGCATATAGTAAAGCTTGTAAGTTAGTTAGAATCATTACTATACTTTCTGTATTTTGTTTATACTTCATAGTATTGACTACCCTGTAGTGTAACTGTTTCTTTTTATGTATTGCCCATTAAAGTATAAACCCTATGAGAGCAGGTGCTATGTCTCTTATGTGCACGTACTAATTACTAAACATGTTCCCATGGTTGTTTCTAAATTCACTTTTCGAATTATCACCTCATTTTCTGCAGCTTCCTAGCTTCACTCCAATGCACTCTGCGCCTCTACCACGGCACCAATGATACTACTTTAGACGACTCTCCCTCGACCATGCGCATCTGGAGCCGTATACTCACTTCGCTGGGAGGTTTGAGTATTAAGCGACATAAGGTAAAGTGCCACTAGTTGGTGCTTAAAAGAAAAAGGAAAAAAGGCAGCATTATTCACGGAGAAAGAGGCAGGGCGCAGTGGGAGTCGGGTTCTAGCGCCACGGTGGAATGTGGCTGGGAGGTGGGGGGATTCCCAGAGCTGTGGAGGGGACGTCTCGTGGTCAACCCGTCTGTGTGTTGGGGGCCAGGGGTTGGGGGATCCCGGGCGCAGGGTCTGCCGAGGCAAAGCAAAGCGGGGCCCAGCCCCAGGAGGCTGCAGCCATATGCCCCGCTTGCCTGTCCTCGGGACGAGCCTCACCTCCTGAACTTTCAGCTCTTCCAGAGTGGGCAGCTCCACTATCCCCGGCATGATGGCTGCAGCCAGGACCCTGACGAGGTGCCCTCAGCCACCTCGCCACGGTCTCCTTGAACTCCCCTTACGAGGTCCAGAGGGCCACACAGTGGCTGAGCATGCGCAGCCGGCAGCGCGCAGGCGCAATGCTCTGCCCAACAGCTAGCGCGAGGGGGTGCGCAATACCAGGAAGTTCGGCGTATTCCAGGAGGCGGGGCTTCGAGTAAGCACCGCCCATCCATTCTGGTTGTCATAGTGAAGCAGAATGCATTTGGATTAGGTTCCCAACTGCTGAAAGCTAAGGGCAGGAGCCATGCAGTACACAGGGAGCGAATATATCGGGGAATATGTACATGGGAGGTAAGAGCCTTATTTGATTCACTAAATATGTCTCGAACATCTGTGACTGGGAAAAGACGGCTCTATTTTTGCCTCTGCGAAGGATTTATACCAGGCATTTTTACAAACTTTGTCCGTTTTAGCCTTCAGGACAACCTTTTCACGAAGGATTATTTATTGCCATTTTATAGTTGAGGAAAATGAGGCCCAGCGAAGAGACGTAACTTGCTCAGAGACACATGTCTACAAAGTATAAAGCTGAGATTCATCTCTCCCATATGTTTGCTGTTAGTTTTAGGATGTGGGAATAAAAATGTAAAAATTAGTTAAGATCCGTGTTCTCATAGAGCATATAGTCTAGTTGAGGTATATTGCCAACAAACAAATGAGAATATAATTTCAGGTAATGGAAAATGCTATGAAAACAAATGAAACATGAGATGGAGGGGGCTGTGAATAATTTGAATCCAGTATACAGGGGAGCTCTGGTAAGGTAGTGCCTAAGGCATTTGACTGCTAACCAGAAGACTGGAGGTTCAAACCTACCAGCCATTCCTCAGGAGGAAGGTTGGGCAATCTACTTCCGTAGTGATGTTGTTGTTGTTTGCCGTCGAGTCGGCCCCGACTCATAGTGACCCCTCCTTGGGTTTCCGAGGCAGTATCACTACGGAAGTAGGATTGCCCAACCTTCCTTCCGAGGAGTGGCTGGTGGGTTTGAACCGCCAGCCTTCTGGTGAGCAGTCAAGTGCCTTAGCCACTATGCTACCAGAGCTCGATACCACCTCGGAAACCCAAGGGGCGTTCGCTATGAGTCAGATCCGAAGGCAGCGAGTGAGTGTGAATGAGTGATACATGTTATCTTCCTTCAAGGAATTCACAATCTAGGTGTTAATAAAGAGGATTAGGTACACAAATCATTGTAAGATATTACTAATAACAAATAATGAGTCTACTAGTTACCAGGCCCTGGGATTGACTCTGGGAATGCAGAAATATGGAAGATACAATTCTGACCCTCAGGAAATTCATACAAATATAATATAGAAAGTAGGCATAAAATGCTGTTGTTGTTGTTGTTAGATGCCATTGAATCATTTCCAACTGATAGCAACCTATGTGCAACAGAACAAAACACTGCCCTGTCCAGTGCCATCCTCACAATTATTGCTATGTTTGAGCCTGTTATTACAGTCTTTGTGTGTGTGAATACATCTCATGAAGGGTCTTCTTCTTTTTCACTGACTCTCTGCTCTACCATATGTTATGGATTAAATTGTGTTCCTCAAAATAATGTGTTATAAATCTTAAACTCTATCCTTGAGGTTATAATCCCATTTGTTATGTGAAGGAGGCAGGATTAATGTAGAATGGATCTTGAGTTGATCTCTTTTGAGACAACAAAGAGATTAAACAAGCAAGCAAGAGAAGCAGAGGCAGGGGAAGAGAGACGCCAAGCCACGTTGAGATCACCCAGGAGCAAAGCTCAAAGAAACAAGAACCTTCCTCCAAAGTCAACAGAGAGAGAAGGCCCTCCCCTCCAGCCAGCATCATGAATTTGGACTTCTAGCCTCCTAAACCGTCAGAAAATAAATCGCTGCTTGTTAAAGCCACCCCCATCTGTGGTATTTCTGTTACAGAGGCACTAGAAAACTGAAACAGAACTTGATACTAGAAGAGTGGGGTACTACTCTAACAAATACCTAAAATGTGAAAGTGGTTTTAGAATTGGGTAATAGGGAGAGTCTAGAAGAGCTCTGGTAGCGTGGTGCCTAAGGCACTTGACTGCTAACCAGAAAGCTGGCAGTTCAAACCCACCAGCCACTCCTCGGAAGGAAGATGGAGCAATCTACTTCCGTAATGATTCTGCCTCAGAAACCCAAGGAGGGGTCGCTATGAGTCAGATCTGACTCCACAGCACATAGCAACAACAACAACAATAGAAAAACCTAGACTGCCTTGAAGAGACTGTTGGTAGAATTTTGGATGTCAAAGGCAATTCTAGTGAGAAGCCAGGAGGAAGTGAGGATAGCTATAGAGAAAGTCTCTGTCATCTTAGACTACAGATGGCACCAGCAGCAGAATGTTGCTAGAGATGTGGACTTTAAATGTGCTTCTGGTGAGGTTTTAAAAGAAAATGCTGAACATATGATTGGACAAAGGAGGAAAGGTGATGCTTTTTATGCAGTAGCAAAGAACTTGTCTGAATTATATTCAAACGTTTGGTGAAAGGTAGAACTTGTAAGTGATGAACTTGGATATCTGGTTGATGGTATTTCTAAGCAATACCTTAAAGGAGCTGCTGCATGGTTCTTCCTTGCAACTTACAGTAAAATGTGAAAGGAAAGAGGTGGACTTAGGAACGAACTGTGCAGAAAGAAAGGATCTTTCTCTAGAGCCTTCAGAGACAGCATAGCCTGCTGACATCTGGAATTCAAACTTCCAACCTCTAGAACTATGAGACAATAAATACCTGTTTTTATAAGCCACCAAAAAATAAAAGGCCAGAGCCTCCCTCCCCCAAAAAAATAAATTGTGCAAAATGAAAACAAACTTAAATTTGGAAAAAATGTCTTGTACCAATGAGGACATGGCTACACAATCTTTTGTTAAAAAGATTAAGCCTGTGACTGGTGATCTGACCAACCACCACAGCAGAAAATCCATCAGCTTAGACTGATGGGAACAGATTAAAAAATGAAAGGAAAGAATGTTGTCTGCCTCTTGCAAGTCTACAGGCAAGAGACAGACCAAAGGAGTTACATCTGTTGGCCTCCAAGAAAAGAAAATGACCATCCCTGGAGCAGCTTGGAGACCAGCAGAACTGTTAAGGAGCATGGGAAGCAGGGCTTTCTTGTTGTCAAAGAGTGGGGCTACAAACTCCTGGATCTCAAAGGACGGCCACAGCATCCTAGGTTTCAAAGAGTTGGATCTTTGCCATCGCACTTCTGGAATGTGGAGCTGCCATTAGGGTGTGCTGGGGGAATGGGTCCACTACCTAAAGCTGAGAGGCTGGAGCTTCCATGACCAAGGGGCAGAAGAACAGGGCCTTCCAAGGTCAAAGAGGTGGGCTTATCACTCAGATTGATTAGGAGAACGGGGCCACCTAAAGTTGAAGGAGAAGAAGCAGAGTTGCTGTCCCGGTGGGGCTTGGAGGTAGAGATTAAACCCAGGTCCAAGGGCCCTCCATCCAGAACCTAGAGAGCATGGCCAACAGCCAGAGGCTGGAGGGCAGGGCCATTGCCCTGATGGTCTCATAGAAGAAAGGATTATTTTCAAGACTTGAGGGCTAATATAATCGTTTCTGCTGGGTTTTGGACTTGTTTGGTGCCCATTATCTCTTCTTTCCCTCCAGTTTCTCCCATTTGTAATGGAAATGTCTGCCTTGTACCCATTCCACCATTTACTTTGGAAACAGATAACCTGTAGTCTAGATTTCTCAGATTTACAGATGAAGAGGAGTTTTTGCCCCAAGATGTTGTTGTTAGGTGCCATCGAGTTGTTTCCGACTCATAGCGACCCCATGCACAGCAGAATGAAACACTGCCCGATCCCGCGCCAGCTCCATGATCCCTGCTATACTTGAGCCCATCATCGCAGCCACCGTGTCAATCCATCTCATTGAAGCCCTTGCCCTCTTTCGTCGACCTACCACCCTACCAAGCATGACATCCTTCTCCAGGGAATGGTCCCTTCCGACAACATGACCAAAGTAGGTGAGACGAAGTCTGGCCATTCTCGCTTCCAAGGAGCATTTCGGGTGCCCTAAGATGGAATATGCTTAAAGTATCGCCCATATTTGATTCAGAAGTTGAGATTTTAGGCTTGGAGTTGATTTAAGACTTTTGGGATAATGTGATGGGGTGAGTGTGTTTCATATGTGGCAAGGATATGAATGTTGTGAGGGCAAAGTGTAGAATGTTATGGATTGAATTGTGCCCCCCCAATATGTGTTGTAAATCCTAGCATCTATGCCTGTGGTTATAATCCCTTTGGGAATGGGTTGTCTTTGTTATGTGGATGAAGCAAAACAAATATAGGGTGTATTTGGAGTCAGTCTCTTTTAAGATACAAAAGAGATTAAGCAAGACACCAAGAGAAGCAGAGATGAGGAGAGAGAGATGCCAAACCACATCACCCAAGAGTGAAACCTCAAAGAGACAAGAACTTTTCTTCAGAGCCAATAGAGAAAGAAAGCCTTCAACTAGAGCTGGCACCCTGAATTCAAACTTCTAGCCTCCTAGACCATGAGAAAGTAAATTTCTGTTTGTTAAAGCCACCTGTTTGTGATATTTCTGTTATAGCAGCAGTAGATAACTAAGACACCAAGCATGATGTCCCTCTTTAGGGACTGGTCCCTCCTGATAACATGTCCAAAGTAAGATGAAGTCTAATCTTTCTCCCTTCTAAGGAACATTCTGCTGTACTTCTTCAAAGACAGATTTGTTCATTACTCTGGCAGTCCATGATACAGTCAGTATTCTTTGCAACACCATAATTCAAATGCATCAATTCTTTGGTCTTTCATTGTTCAGCTTTCACATGCCTATGAGGCAATTGAAAATCCTATGGCTTGGACTGTCAACCACTCGGAGGGAGATCTATGTAGGAGATCCTGGATAGAGAGGGAGAACAATGTGAAACAAAACTCAAAATCATTTGGGAAAAAAAAAGGGGACCAGGTTTGCTGGTCTGATAGAGCCTGGTGGAACCACTGAGATTATGGTCCCTAGCTGCCCTTCAGGTCTGGAATTGAGCTCATACCTATGGCTTCCAGCCAAACAAAAGACAGGTATAAGAGTTGAACATGTACCTGAAGTAGATGTGAACAATCATGGGAGAAAGAAGGGCTGTTTATGCACAGGGAAACAGTTCAGGGAGCAGGAGTGCATGGAGGGATGAACACAGGGAAGAGGTAACTATTGGGAGGAAGTGGGAGGGAAGCTGTTGCATTGGGGTAAATTGTAGTCAATGTCATGAGACAACGCTTGTGTGAACTGCTGTGTGGAAAGTGAATTTGCTCT